GGGAGATAACTGTGCATAGGAAAATCTACAGTGTAGTGGGACAGGCATCCTTAAGTAAGTTAAGGGGAGATAACTGTGTATAGGAAAATATACAGTGTAGTGGGACAGGCATCCTTAAGATTATACCTGTAACATCTGTCAGTGAGCGGGGTAATGACAAGACGTCCAGTGTTGCCGAGGTATTCGTAGCCATACTTCAGCATAGAATTGATCATACGAGTGACCATACGTTCCTCCTGAAGGCAAACAGAAAAATACAGTGTAAGTGCAACGATCAAATTTTATCAACTTAATTTTCTAAGATTTTACCTGTAGATATAAAAATTTGAGAAAGTACATGAGCACCAATTGAGTATTAAAGAAGCGATCGGCATGTGCCAAGCAGTACCGTATTAGACTAATTTTATAGCAATTTGACATACTTGAGTTTGTTATTAAAATCATAACAATTTCATATAAAATTCTTTTTTTTTTACTTTATACTTTCAAAATATTCCCTATGACCAAAAACAAATTTGAATGAAAACAATTTTTTAGGTCTCAGCAAATCTTATTTTTTCATCATAATTGTTCTTTTTCTAATTGCATAGTAAACACATGTATAATTTCTGATAGTTTCATAAACAAGAACCTAAATGTGTTCAACAAATTATACTTAAACACATATCAAGAAACTTTTATCAATGATATAACTGTATGTTGTAAACAATTAAAAAAAAAAATCGTAAAAATATTATAGCGGGTTATATACATACCTCCCAGTAATAACGCAGCTGACTTAGCCAGGCGAAATCCATCTCGTCACACACCTCGTCCTTTACGAGAATAGTAAGCACATCACGTGCATGGACATCCAGTACAATGAGAGCCTGGAGGGTGACACGATTTTGTTTGGACAGTTTTCCTCGCACCATCGCTACGATATCGTCAATTTGTGCATTATTTAGTTGGAGGTAATCATTGAGCGCACTTCCGCCCTTTTTGAATGCTTCGTGGATGTATGTAGTCCAGTACATAGCGGTTACGGCCAATACACACTGACCAGCCCAGATTTTGACCCATTCTGATCGTGTCTGCTTCGTGTAGGCCACGATAGCCTCACCAGTTGTCTGTAAAAAAAATAAAAATCATACATAACGCATAAACTAACAGTCACAAATCACTACATATATACATATAACTGAAAACACTGACAGATGAGTAAAGACCCTGGCCAGATGGACAGACACCGTGATCACTATAGGGCACCAGCATCTCTGATGCACAGGGCCCAAACAATGGAAATGCAACTGAGTCAAACACAGTTTTTTCAACCTGTGAATGCAATATTACAGTCTGTGAAACACCTATTTACTAGCAAGTAATTTTCTTTTGTATACAGTGAAACAAATTATTTATAGCAATTTAAAGTAATTGTCAAGTACCTCAATTTATAAGCAATCGGAGAGAAACTTTTCCTATCTTCAACCTCAAGATAATTGAGATTGAAATTGGTAAACATGGTATATAAACTGCAGATCAAAACTTTTTTAATGGATTTTTTTTCCCCCCGGTGATACATTTCTAGAAATACCTTGTGGAGGGAAGCAATCATGTCCGCCTCAAGTTCTAGTAGCCATTTTTCCACCTGTCCCCGAGCCTTGGATGTGGAAATGACATCAAGGAGCTCCACGATCTCACCCTCACTGCTCTTCATGTGGGTGATGTCCAAAGTGTCTGTGAATTCCAGACGTGAGATACCCTCAAAGCATTTCTTCAAATGTGGCTGTACTCTGTAAATTGAAATTGCACACTTTTTTGTTAAGACATATATATATATTTACCATCGTATGGCATTGTCACTATATAACCCTACCAAAA